CTACATGGTGACATAACGAATGAATTATGCACATTTCTGTTCCAAGAGCAACACCGCGACCACTTTATCATTGCCCATAATTTCAAGGTAATAACAGTTTTTTTTAATTTTGTTTTTTGTTTTGTTATGACTTTTTTTTCATCAGCCTAATAAAATAATTTTTTTCTCACGCAGTCTTTGATGGATACTTCATTCTCAACTGGCTGCTTAAAACGGCATCGTACCGAAAGTTATTCTGAATGGTGGGAAGATTTTACAATGGATGTGCCTCAGCTGAATATCCGATTCGGGATAGTATAAACTACAACCCTCAAAGCCTTGCAAAATGGCCGGCTACGTTTGGTCTACCAGAAATCAGCAAAGGAACGTTCCCGCACCGGTTTAATCGGAAAGAAAATTGAATCAGATAGCTCCCTTTCCCTCAGTGGATGAGTACGGGTTTCAAGGAATGAACAAAAAATCAAAGGACCTTTTCTGCGTTGGTATGAGAAGGAGAAGCAGGAAAAATAACCAGTTTGATTTCCGGAAAGAATTTGTGGAATACTGTAAAATGGATGTTACGGTTCTTCGAATTTGCTGTCAGCACCTGAAAGCTGTTCCAAGAAATAAGCAAAGGATTATGTCCGTTTGTTTGTCGTTAACTATTGCGGGATTGTGTAATCGGTATTGGCGATCCTTCATGCTGAAGCCTGAGCAGATAGGTCTGTTACCGCATGGTCTAAATGCCCGCAATCGGCATCAGTCGGAAAAGCTAAGAAATGGTTATCGTGGATGGAAGAAGAAAGTAACCGCACTATCCAGTCTGTGATAAACGGGTCTGAATACAGGATTGGACCTTACTACGTTGACGGTTACAGAGAGGACATCAACATGGTCTATGAATTTTATGGCTGCAGGTTTCACGGCTTCGAAATGTGTAGCGCCGACGACGACCCACCCGTTTCGGGATATTTCAATGTCGGACGTTTACAAGGAAACCCTTGACCGAGAAGATTATTTGCGAGGACAGGGCTACAGTGTGACCTGTATTTGGGAACATGAATAGTTTATGCAACGGCTTGATCCCTGGATGCTTTTACGGAGGGAGAACGAATGCCGTGAAGTTATTCCATCAAGTCGTTGGAGACGAAAAGATTTGCTATTTTGACGTCAACAGCGAATACCTCTTCAATCAATAAAACCGACGTTACCCCGTGGACATCCTACCATAATTACAAAGAATTTTAACGATATCCAGTCCTATTTCGGCCTGGTTGTGTGCACAGTATTACCACCGGGCGATTTACAATTTCCTGTTCTACCGTATCGCTGTGGAGGCAAATTAACCTTTCCTTGTGCAGAACGTGCATGGAAAAACACCAAAACAGCAAATGTCAACATGCCGATTGCGATCGAACAATCACTGGAACATGGTGTACACCCGAAATCCAAAAGCGTTGGACAACGGATACAGTATTAAAAAATATACGAAGTTTGGCATTTCGATAAGTATGAAGATCGCCTTTTGAAAACTACATTAACCAGTTCCTTAAACTGAAAACCGAGTCCAGCGGATGGCCGGTAGAAATATGCAGCGAAGCGGAGAAGCGCAAATACATTGCGGACTTAAAGAGCACGAAAACGTGGACTTGACTACGACAAAGTTAAACCAAATCCTGGTTTAAGAGCACTGGCGAAATTGTGCTTGAACAGGTATTCACACAGTCTTTATTCCGTTTTTCAACCTTTTTAAAAATTCTTTGGTTCCAGTTTTGGGGCCGTTTTGAATGCAAGATAACAAGCTGAATACCATGTATATCAGCGAACCAGAAAAATTTTACAACATGCTTTTGTCCGGAAAACATCACGTTCATTCATGGGACCTTTTCACTGATGACATTGTCCAGATAACCTATACCACCGAAAGCGGATTCGTTGACCGCAACCCCACACCAACGTAATATTTTAGCAGCGTAAGAAATAATATTTCTAGAAATAAAAAGGTTAAAGCGAATTAGGCTTTATTTAAATTTATAGATTCTATCTTTCGTGACTCGACCGACCTTGTGGACCCTCCTACTGGAATATTTTTAACGAGTTTACACATCGTTCAGTTTGTAAGCCTTGGCGCCAAATCCTACGCTTACTTACCAACGATGGAGAAAGCGTTGTCAAAGTCAAAGGATTCACCAGCAATGGGCGCACAAGCGAACAAGTTAATTATAAAACCATGCTGGACATGTTGGCAAACCGTAGTATTATAGATGTCGACTTTCCCGATATTTTGCAGCGAAATAAGTCTACTATGACGATTCGCAACACCAGTGTGGTTAAACGATTTAAGTGACGTATGACAAACGCCGTATTGTTGACGATCAGTATAATACGGTACCGTATGGATATGTTCTGGCTTAAACCAGCGATTTATTAAATTTACGAATCATTTCCCGAACTTCCCGGACCGCATCAGGCAACTGATCACAGCTTTTCAATCCTAGGAAATTGCATTTACCAGATGGAAATAGTACAGCACGCCCAACTTTAAGTTTGATTGCTAAACCACTGAGCAATTCAGGCGTGTATTCCAAATGAAAATACATGCTAAAATTTTCGATATGCAACCGGTCTGGAAAAGCATGGTTAGCCACAACATTGACCACACGATAATTAGAAACGGTACAAGGAAAGCCTGTTCCAGTCAGAATATCAGCAAAGCGACGAACTAAGTCCGGGAATCCACCTCCGACCGTGCTCTGTAGCAGTCGAAATACTTTTCCAGGCCTTTGGCAAAGAATCGCACTTGGCTGGGTCGTCCAATCCTTCGAAAAATATCTTCCAACGCACAAGTTACCTGGTTGTGTCGGTACTCTCCTACCGTATACCACAACAGTCCGTGCGAATGGCGAGCTTGACTTTTCAGAGCGGTGTGCTTGCTGGCGATTCGAGGAAGCGTGAAGGTGTACAGGTTTTGTTCGTCTTTGTCCGGACAGTAGAAAGCCAGCTGTTTGATGTACTTGGTTCCATTGATTACGAACCAATCGGTGTCCAGTATGCATGGTACTGCCATTTCGTCTACCAGAGTACTAATCAAAATTCCAGTTCACTGATAGCGTACACAATGGCAAAAGTCTCGTATGTGAATGTACTAAAGACCGTGTATTTGTATCAGGTGAGGATCACTGAAGTCGGTGATCCATATCGTGCGGGCAAGGGATCACTGAACTCGTGATCCCTGTCGTACAAAGATCACTGAACTCAGTGATCCATATCGTATGGTATCACTGAAGTCAGTGATCCATATCGTACAAGGGATCACTGAACTCGGTGATCCATGTACTTTGCGGGATCACCGAAAACAGTGATCCGTGTACTCGGAATTACCGATATCGATGATCCACTAAGTGTGAACCGAAGATCGCTATAAAAAGCAGGTGTAATCGATAGGTGCTTACCAAGTTGTTCTATTTACCTCTTGTTGAAATTAAACCTACATCACCATGGAATTTATGGACCTGTTTGCATCCAAACGACCGCAGACCGCTGCGACCAAGCCCAAGCGAAAAGGTCAAGAAGAGGGAGGGAAGCCGGAAGTTAAGAAGAGCAAGCCCAACGGTTTACCGAGTACGATATCTACGCATCCGCGATTTGTTTTGCACAACTGGGAAAGCCGGTCTACCGCTTGGGAAACGACAAGTTCGTGTATGTGGGGCCTAGCGCCGACGGGAAGATCAGTACGATTCGTGTGGTTTTCGGTGAATGGAAGGAGCAGCCGGACAGTTCCTGGAAAGCCAGCTACGGGAAGAACGTTTCGTTGTCCAAGATCGGTTTTCTCCGTTTGGCCGCGCTCATGCTGACCGAGAAAGCCGATATGGATGAAGCGGCCCGTGCCAGTGCTGCCGAAACCGGTCGGTTGACCCCGTTGTACCTCTTGGACAGCAGCATGTACTTTGGTTGGAGCCGTTTCAATGGCACCAACGTGGCGACCATTCGACGTTTTGAAGTAAAGGGAGGGGATATGATCCCCACCCGCTACGGTATCTCATTTGGTGAGCGCTGCTATGACGGACTGAAGGACCTCATGAAAGACCTGCAGCTGTTCAAAGACATGGTGAAAATCCAAAAGGAACAGGGGGTCCACGAGCCGGTCAAAGAAGGACTAGAGTACCCTACGCTGTGCGAAAACGTTGCCGAGGCTTTGGCGCCATTGGTAAAGCAGCTGGATGATGGTACTATTAACCAGTGCCATGAAGACAACTATCGACCATCCGACGGCGAATGGAACGGCGCTGTGGAGCGACTGTTGGAATTGCGTATGGTACATGGTATACTGTTCGGACTGGATAAGCTCAGTGTTGAGCAGGCTCTGGACCTGGACGTGGCTGGATTTTTGAAGAAACACGAGGATCAGCTTCGTGAGAATGTGGGTGGAATTATTACTGCTAACAATTGCTAATTTTCTACTGTTTTATTTACTTGAACGACAAACGAAGAAACCGGTCACTGTTTTGGTTTTTCATTTTAATAAACGTTTGCACATTTGTCGAAGCAAAGCTCCATCTACCATGGTTGTATTGATGTCGAAAAATGAATTAACATACTGACACACCATTTTGTCGTTGCTTATTCGGCTATCCGTGAACAAATGCACAATATTAGTGTACGATTCACCACTACAACGTCGTAAAATAAAAAACAAACAGTATTGTCCACAGACAGTGCTAAATTCAGACTGAAACTGTTCATTTTGTAGAGTAATTTCATTGGCTGTCACCAGTGGCACGAAATGCTGAGAGTAGCTTTCCAAAGCTTTCCCATATGAATCAAATACTTCCATTTTACCGGCTTGTTCCTGGTACAGGGCAATCCAGTGCTCGCCTTCCTGGTCAGAGGGGTCGGTATTTACCACACAAGCTCCCGGAAAGGTGCCAGGATCGTTGGAACTTGATCACTGGCGTAGACCCCACGAAATACCGCTGTTGTCTGTGGATTTCCATGGAGTGCCGAGGTAATTTCCTGTGTATTCATGTTGTAAAGTCCGCAATCAGTTGACGGTGCTGGTTGATTTCAATAATGCTGTCATAGACCAGCATACACACCATCATAATGGTACTTTTCAGTGGTTTCCCAAAAGACACGGAGACACTAAGGTTTCTTTGCTTTATCAGGGTCAGTGGTCCACGGCCGGTATGTCCTGGAGTCAGGTCGAAACCGAAAATGGTATACCCGTCGTTATACTGGGTCCGGTTGAAAGGCAGGCCGCCTTGCAGGCTGGGTCGGTGTCCCAGAGTGTCCAAAAGCCCGTCGTAGCACTCCAGAGACAATTTGTGATCGAAATCGGCAGTGTACGGTTTTGTGGGGTAACTCTGACCGTCCACTTCGACGCTGATTTGTGAAATATTGAAGTGTTGAAAGTTGAAAGGATTTTTCTTTTGCGATCCGTGAAAGTCTTCGCTGTCCACAAAACCAATAAAGATGACTTTGGGGATTTGGCCAATCTGCAAATTGCTGACCACGGTGCTTTGTGTTCGTTGGGGAATGTCCGATACGCGCATCACCACGCGTTCGATATGGTACTTGACCGTTTTTTTTATGAGTTCTCCGGCTACGGCGGTCAGAAAGTCCGGAGACGGAATGTATCGGCGAACCGAAAGACGCGCGTTACGGATAAACGGTTTAAATATCTTGGTGGTATCCGTGTCCCATACACGTAAGGCAAACTCCGGTCGACTAACCACAAGGCGAATGTTGACGGGTACACCGGTGCACAGTGGCTTGCTCTGGTCAAATAGGTCGGAAAATAGTTTGCCGGAAAGCTGTACGTACTGTCCAGTATTAAATAACGCCGTTCGATTTTTTCACCATTGTTTGCGGTTTCACTGTTGAAGGAGCCCGGAGAGTCGTAATAGAAACCGGCAGATGTCAGTTGGCTTTGTTGGGCGTCAAGAGAGTGGGACAGAAGAGATTCCAGGTAGGCGCGGTACGGATAAAAGGTGGCGGCATCCGAGATCAACCGGTTGGCCACCGTCACATGACATGAAGAGAACAGTGAGTGCAGAATGTTGTTGACCGGTGCCACACCATCAGCCGTTGTAATCAGTTCCCATTCCCCAGTGCTCTTGCGGACTTTAATACCCACTTCCAGTTCCAGGATCATGTCCGCTAAACTGAGTAGTCCAGATGTGCTGGGTGGAATGAAAAAATTAATGTCGCCGGCCGATCCGTTGTCCGTTAAGATGGTCGTGGGATTGAGCTTTTCGTGCTCAGTGCGCCACCGATCCGTTAGAGTGGCCGGTAATGCAAACAGCTGGTTCTCTAGTTGCATTGCCGGCTCCGAGTTTTCCATCATCAGCATGGCCATTCTCAGAAAAAATCGGGGATGTTGGTAGGAGGAATACGTTTAACTCGTAGAACTTTACGTCGAATACGTCGTTTCTTGCGGATACCTTCGCCTTCTTGGGAAGCAAAACGTTTACCAATGGCTGTTCCCGCACGCGAGGCCACTTCTTTAATAGCCCCGGTCGCCGCTTCTTGCAGGTGACGGGTAGCCGCTTCCAGAGCGGCTTTGGCATGCGGTGCAGCCTTCCGTAGTATAGGCTGAGCAAAGGCTGATAGCTTGGCAAAAAGGCTCTTTAAAATCTGTGGGAACCCCGATCCGTTTTGTAGGGTTCCTCGATACCGGATCAGGGCGCTGCCACCCGTTTGACTGACAAAGACGTTCTCGTATCGCCGGGGATCCGGCACGTACGCCACGAGAGGCATTCTAGTAGAGTCGTTGCGGTCGGAAATGCAGTTTCACCAGGGACTTTCCCGTTTGGAACTTGGCGTCGTCTCCCAGGTCGTTGGCAATGGTCAGTTTTATCGTTTCGAAATGTTGGCGTAGTACTGGGACGTAATGCGGAATATCGAATCTGGCCTCGACAATTTGATTGACTTCTCCTCTAATAGGTACGGAACGTAAAAACTGCGCTGCAGTATCGCCAATCAAGCTGTAGTCGGCCACATCACTGTAGACAAACAGGCTTTGATTTCCCAGTAGGGTATTGACCGGTCGGTCCGAAATAAAGCTGGTAAGTTTTGGATTCGGAGGCTTGGCCAGAAATGACAAGTACTGGATACTGACGTTTTTTGTTTCCATAGGAAATGGGCCGACGAATGCGTTGCTGTTGCTCTCCATCGGTACGTCCGGTTTTAGTACACTGTGTTCAAATCCTAGCATTTTTTGTAGGACTATCGACGACGGGGGAAAGACGACGGAAACCCGATCGTTACCAATATTCAGTCGGACCCGATGATTGGTGGCGGTCAGCAATTGAACGGTGAAGGCTCTGTCGGCAGTCAAGGCGCTCTTATCAGCGTGCACGGTATCGTCCACCATGTACGATCCAACTTTGGGTACTAATGAATTGATGGTTTTAATAGCAAATCGGCATCCTTGTAATTTCCGGAGGGATGGTAATCTCGTCGGTATGGACAACTTGGTCCGCAGACTCCAAAAGTTTGCTTCATCTTTCTCTAGTCTGAATTCTTTAACGATGTGCACTTCAATCTTCTGTTCGACGGGAAGAGTGAAAAAGGAATTGAGGTACTGTAGTTCAACCAAGGCCATTTCCCATTTTCCCTTCAGGGTAATGGGATGTTTCAGTTTGGTTGTCCAATTGGAAGGAGTGTTGCTGGGGTCCGTAGCGACATCGCTCGGGAGCGTCACGTAGAATGGTGCTCCTTCGTACATGATGATGCCTTTATCCAGGAATCGTGCTCAGGTCCGTAACCTAACCAGCGAACTAGTACTTTATCACCACGGCGTCTAATGATATGGTCGATGGTATATTCTTTCTGTTCAGGGCGCGATACTTTGGAGAGCTCGTGTTCATAAAAGGTTCCTTGGATAGGTTGGTCTTGATAGTCCTTTAGTCGGTATACCGGTACGGTATGTGAAATAACTTTAATGATGTAGAACACCTCCTCCTTAAATCGATACGTATAGCCCTTTTCCACCTTGGTTTTATGCACGGATATCCGGACTGCATCTCCGACCTTGAATCGAGGTGGTCGAACTTCTCTGGTTGGATACAATCTGTTGAATACCGCCAAAGAATTGTTCTGGGTAACGTCTATTGGTCGCAATCCATGTGCTCGATGTTTAGAGTGGTTATACGAGTACACCAAATCTTGTAGTTTGTCAATGTACCGTGTCGAAACCCGCGAACGAAACAAGCGAAACATTCGTGTTTTGATGGTACGGATAACGCGTTCGGCCATGGCACATTTGATGTCTTCGTTTTCTGATGTGAAAAAATGAATCTTTCTCTCTTTCAAGAAGGTCTTGACCGTTGCGTTGACGACTTCAGTGCCTTTATCGTACTGCAGCTTTTCCGGCTCGCCGAGTTCTTCAAAAGCCTTGGACAAGGCATTTTTGGTTTCGTTGGCCGTTTTGGACTTCATTGGTTGAATGCTCAGCTTTTTAGAGAAGCAATCAATTACAAACAGCAGGTGTTTGTACCCATCATTTTCTTTGGAATATTTCGATAAATCAGCCAGATCCGCTTGGTACTGCTGACGAAGGTTGGTCACTACGATCCGGTTGCGTGCAAAGCGACGTCGATTTTCCTTGGTCACAGTGTACGCATCGATCTCTTGCAGAACCTCCTGAGCTTTCCGTCTGTTGGCTCTGGTCTTTAGACTTCTTCGGAACCTTTCCACGCCTCCAAGACCGCCGGGATCGCGCGGGTTGAGGTATCGTTTCATTAGTTTCTCCATCGGCTTTGTTGCAGCAGGTGGAGACACAATTGATCTTAAATATACGGCATAACCGTAATACACTGGGAATAAGACCAGCCATTACGTCAGAGTGATCCACTGAATTCTGGTTCGGCCCGCCCCTTTTTGGATGGTACGCGAGCGCAGTTTTCTAACACTGCCTTCAATCTGGTCCGCCTTTCTTTTTTTCCCACGTAGGAGAGTAGTGACCGGAAACAAAGGTCTACGAGGTCGCTTGCGCGAAGACCCTTGGTTGTCTATGCCTTCAGTCGGTCGCTTTCGACCCTTCCTCGGTGCGGTCGGGGGAAACAAGGCTATGCGCGCTGCTTTTGTTGGTCGCGATTCGACACTTTCGTCTTGATGACGCTTGGAACCTTTCTTCGGTAGCGACGCCGGAAACAAAGCAATGCGTGCGGTCTTTGATTTGTTGCTGTCTTCAGGATCGTCTTCGTGGTCGCGTTTCTGTCCTTTAGAGGGTAAATTCAATGGGAATAAAGGCTGCCGAGGTTGTTTGGTAGGACTTGTTCCTTCTTCAAGATCCTCTGGCCTGCCCCGTTTTCGAGAGACGGGTAGTTGCGATGATGAAGGAATTGCCGGTAGTTTTCGAGACGCAGTTACTGTATTCCTTTGTTTCTCTGATGCTATCGGTGGTGGTTGTGCGCTAACATCTGTCGGTAACTCCAACGGATTTTCATCGGGTAAGGCTTTCTGTTTCAAGGCGAGAAACCGTTCAAGTATGCTGCTCAGCTGACTGGCTTTCTCAAATTCACTTATATCGGTTCGTTCCAGGGTTTTTGCCACTAGCGCATCCAACGTTATGACGCTGTGGGCTTCCGGTGGCTCCTTGTTGATCTGGAGCTGATCCTTCTCCATTACACGCCGTAGTACTATGAAGTATTCATCCATTACCAATAAGAGAAGTTAAAACTCCAGCAATGACAGGTAAGATGGCACCGATGAATCCTCCTTGCTGAAATATTCTTCGTTTCTCTTTTAGCGGGTATCGCCGCAGGGCAATCAGCTTTAATGCTTTCCGATGGCGTTTACATTTTTCTGCTTGTGTGGGTGACAAATTCACGGTATTTTTCACAATGTTGACAGCCACCTCTTCCAATGCTTTCAGTTGAGTCTTGGTCAGGTAGCTCATCAGTACCTTCCGCTGCCTCGGCTTCAGGTGTTGCAGGGCAATTATAAAGGGAGCTGAAGCTTTCACGCGTTCTGACATTTTGGCAGGCTGTCGGTACGAGTGCGGTCCAGATAGATACGCATCTGCTGATTCGGTAGTACGTGGGAACGAACCCTTAAATAATCGGGACAGTTTGGTCGTAAGCCCAAGACGAGCGGTTGGTAGGCCTCCGTTGTGATTTTGTTGTAGGCGTCCACTAAATGTTTCAGTCCAGTTTGACGAGCCAGTAATGAAATCTGGTTAATATCCCTTACGTTCTTAAATAGTTTCAAGTACTGGGAGTTCAGCGTTATGTCGCGCATAGTTTTTCCATGTTTGCACAAGTTCTGAAGAAGCATGATGACGGAGATGTTCTTGTGATGTATACCGCGGGTGAAGAGGTCCGAACAGCTAACGTCCTTACACAAATCCGTAGCCAGATCGTCCATGACAACTAACGTCTGGCCACCGCCGTCGATGGAGTGTACCACTGAAAAAAGGTCATCCAAACCGTGCAAAAATTCGACCTGTGAGACGTCTTTTCGTAACTCCTCAAAACCTTTTTGCCACTGACCATAGCAGTACAATATACGATCAGGTGCCCGATCAAATACTACTGAATTATTTCGTAATAACGTAAAAACAAACTGCGTTTTTCCCGACATTGTAGGTCCGCAAACACACATACCAAAAGGAGCGCAAAAGCGCGGGTAATCATTTATTATACCGAACATCTTTTTCAATCCAAAATGATTTAATTCTTCCAACGAAACTAGCTTAAATAGACTAATTAAGCGAAAAAAAGTTTGATTTTTTCCAAAATCATTTGACGGCAAAGCGGGCATTCTCTCACTCTTCCGGAACATTCAGCGCAACAAATCGCATGCCCACATGGTGAAAAACAAATTGATACGTTTTTATTAAGACACACACTGCATTCTTTTTCCAGCTGACAGTTTTCATCCAGTCGTGCTTCGTTGATTCGGGCTCTGATGGTGTTCGCCGCTTTCACGAGGTCCTTGATGCGAAAAAAACGACGGTATCGTTGAACGGCCTTTATCAGATACGTGTAGTGCACACCCTGTTCCATTGCAAACGCCACCAGAAAATCCATTCGGTTCTTTCGCAAACTGCCAGCCCACTTCAGTTTGTCCATATCGTGAAACCGTCGAACTTCTTGAACAAAACGCAAGCCTTTCTTCTCGAGTAAATATATGCAGCGAGGTTCGTACTTGGCGTGCTCGATCCACGGGTCATCATCACGTGTCCACTGTGCCAGTTTGGGGCCACAGCAAAAACACTGGACCTGGTCCCACATTCCCTCCATGAAAAAGAACCCGGCATTGGCCATATCCATGGGGCGTTGGCTGATAACTTGCCCCGGCCACTTTGCATACGTGGCGAAACGGTCGCGATACTCCTTTATGGCGGGAACGTACACCTCATCATCCGCCACCATAGCCGCGTGCACATTCGGGACTGATTCGCCGGTGCTCGAACTTGGGCTGGTCCCCGATCATCCAATTGAAATGGACCATACCGCATAGCACACACTTCACTTCGTCTCCTTCGTGAGTGTATATGAATCCGGCTTCCGCAAGAGACTGTGGTGAAATGTACGACAATGGCCAGGTGTCAAATGTCCGTAGCCGATCCTCCAAACTCATCTGTCGCTCGGCAGCCTGTGCATACAAGTCTATTTAAGGACCACGTTCAAACTCGTACTTTATCGGCTTTACCATGGCTAACTTACAGCATATGATGTGCTTAGGACGAAACGTCGAGCAAAAATGCGAAAAAGTTCTTTTAGTTATTTTGTACGTCGTCTTTTTTATTGTTTTTGCTACGTTTGTTGTTACGGAAGGAATTGGAAAAATTCTTCAGACTGATCACTGGAATAAAACGCTACGAAATGACACATCTTGACTTACCGACGTGACGGCGGAACAGAAGCAGGTAGGATGACAATCACGTACAGTCATGTTGAAACGTGCACAGTAATTCATTAAAAGTTTTGAAAAAACATTGCGCTACTGATATTTTTACCGATTTTTCACCTGCTTTATATACAATTTTTGTGTAATGGAAACCGGTGATCCCTGCTCGGGATCACTGAATTCAATTACAACTACTCGTACGTATGATCACTGAAAACCGTGATCCCTATTGTAACTAAGGACTTGTACGATCACTGAAACCAATTACATTTCCGGAATTCAGTGATCCCGTCGGTATATAAACTGATGTTCGCATGGCATTTGTTTTCAGTGTAGCGAAAAACAACTTTGCAACAATAAAAATTGCTACTGTTTGTCTAGTGTTCTTAGTGCTTTCTTATCTCATAAGCGACCATGGCTGCAGGATCGAGCGCTGGAAGTGGCTTACCGGAATCTGTTCCGCAAGTTAAGTCCACAGACACCACAGATGATCTTCGACGGGAAGCAGGTTCCACCAGCCATTCTTCCGGAGTTCGCAAAGTTCCAGGGGTTGGAAAAGTTGAGTCTTATCGACTGCGGCCTACGATCACTGGAAGGACTGCCACGGCCTCCCAACTTGCGTGTGCTAATGTTAGGCGACAATCACCTCGACGACCTCAGCCCGCTACCCACCTGCTTCCCCAACCTGGAAAAGCTATCGATTGTCGGGAACAAGATTGGGTTTCGTAACGAAATGGAGCCCCTGACTCGTCTTACCAAGCTGCGGGCTTTGGATGTTGAAGGCAACGAGATCTGCGAGATTCGCGGACATGACCGATGGATGGCGGACACGTTTCCCCGTGTCAAGCGCTTCATGATTACCGCGTATGACGTGGACAGTGACGAGGAAGACGACGACGATATTTCATTGTTTCTTAGCGGTAAATAAAATTTATTATTACTGTATCAACTATTACTTGATAGTAAATGTTTCCAGATGAAAGTATGGACGCCGATGACGAGGAGGAAGACAATGTCTCTGATGGACCCGGAGAATCAGTCCCGGAGGTCATTCAGATCGACTAGGATCTTCTGTAAGGTATCGACCATTCTTTTTTTATATTTGTTTTTTTAGCTGATTTTATTGTTCTTTGATTCGAGGTACAGGTTGGAAACGGAATGCGGAGGCGAAATCTTAGATATGTTGTGATTTACTTTGAAAAGGTCACCATTTTTTGTGTTAATGCCTGTGTTATCTAACAGCTCATTATTTTTACCGACAACAATTAAACGCAGGAATAACCAAATCATCTTGCGTATGCACGTTAGCCCCGTAAAGTCAATCACACTAATATATTAACAACAAAATAGAATCACGGTTAAAACTGAACTGCTTTTCAATGCACTATATGCCACTATTTTTCCGGCAGTCTTTGCTTCCTGATTTTTTTAGTTTTTTTAGTCTGTTCGTTTTTAGTAGCGAGTAGCGGTCAGATTTAAAAGTGGTGCAAGTTCGTTTAGCGGTTACACCAAGTACTAGATTGTACTAAACACTACAAACTGTGAGAAAAACATAATTGACAGTAAACAGCTAACCGTTGCTACGAGACTTTAAATGTAAAGCACACCCAACGTGGAACTTCGTCTTGAAAATTTGACTAAAAAACGCAAACTTTTCAATAATTAACCTTTAAAGTTTCTTTTGAGTTTTTCGTGAACTCACCATGGCACCAAATCATAGCTGCTTGATGAACTCGTCAAGTAACTTGTGCTCTAAAACATTCAGCAATAAGTTAGAAGCATGGGAACATCTTTTCGCCAAAGATCCCACTACAGTCTGCCCAAATGTACTTGCTGCAGTAGAAAGGGCATTATCCGCAGGAACCGCGACCGCTGCAGAAGTTGCAGATAACAGAGACCATTGCGTCCTGTTGACTGAATCTTTCAAACCTGTCCTCCCTCTATATTCATCCCATATAAATGAGGTGTTGCGCAGCCTTATCAACGGAACGCACGCGCAAAAAGAGGTCGTATTTTTTGATGTACACGGTATTCAATATTTGAGATCTTACAAGGCACTACGACGGCTTGGTGATGTAACTGGTCAGCCGAAATTGGGGAACGCTGAGGCCTTCAAGAGGATTATTGAAGCAAAGCTCGTTGTAATACCTTTCTGTCACGACGTCCATGTAAAGCATATGACTTTAGTCGTCGTATCGGGAGGCGGTAAGTTCAAAAACGTAAAGGTCGTTTCCTAAAATGACTTTCATTACTGGAACAGTTGTGTACCACCAACGACTGGTGCAAGTTTGTCGATTGTTTGGAAAGCCTAGCAGGGATACGTTTCTGCAACAATTCGGAATCTGTCCATTCGTTATATAGTTTCTGGTACGATAATGAATCCATACTACTGAATTCTGTGACTACATACGGGACTTCGTCAACGGCAAACAAATGTACGAGGTACGGGGACTATATCTGTGTTTGTACACCTGCACCGGCACCGACTCTCCCACAAGCGATACCACAGCAGACCGCCTATCAGCCGCATATCAGAGTTTGGTATACCGCATATGATGCCGGTATACCAAACTCTGACGGCAAAATACGGACAACTAGGTCCTGCAGTACGCCACCGATGCAACAAGCACCTGTCCAGCAACCGACCTGGGCCGGAACGGTAGCAATGAATCTGAACCCTCCAGCACCTGGAACTGGAGTCCCACTTAACAACTACGGAGGCGCAGGTTATAGCTCGGGAGGCAACCACAACAACACAAATTGTGGTTGAAACCAGAACTCCAACCAGGGATAGCCCGCATGCGGCCAGAATCCTGCACAAGTAAATGGCGGCGGAGGCGTTAAAGTAAATCCGCTGGGTAAGGTCTTTCTCTCCCGGTACCAGCTGATGAATTTTGTTCTGTCGTCGTAAGGATCTACGTAGTCCTCACTTAAACGATACTTTCACGCGTAGCGTTCGTGGGTGTAAAGCAGGTCGCGCATCCATACGGCGAGGATGATGCTCCAAATCGGTGTGCCAAGTTGGGCTACAATGGTTTCCAACGCCGCTGGTATCTGCTGATTCCGGCAAAGTCCGTACAGGGTGTAATGGCAGAAGTGATTGCCGAGTCTCGTTGCAAAGATGTATCGCACAAACGCAGCGGTTCCGTCCGGAGCGAGATCGATCTCCCTTTCTGGGAGATATTGGAGTAAATCCAATGCTGCGCGAGCTGCGATGATGACAATGGCCGGGTGGGTATCAGTGATGATGAACTGAGCCATACTTTCCATCTCGTCATGCGGGTATTCGCGAGCGCCAAGTTGATTTGCAAGCGTCCAGCCCGGGCTGTACAAAGGTATGCTCAGCAAGGCCGAGTCGATCATCGACGGTAATGCGTTTGCTCGGTTTTATGGGTGTTCCACGTTGTGGTCGGTGTGGGCATTCATATTGAAGTCCGCCTGCCACTGGTGTCGTTCCAGCAGCGTCTGATATTCGGATCGGATGAGGAACTGTCGTAGATTCTTTACCATCCGCCAAACTTGTGAGCGATGTCGTTCCTCATATTCCATTGTGTTCATGATATAATTCGTCCGTTCGGTCGTATGTTACATGACGACCCCTATTCCCTGTTGTCGGGCAAGATTGTAACAAGGAGCTTGTCGAAGGGGCACTTCGACCGCTGGCAGTTGGGCCAGCTGGTCGCACGCTTCAACATCCCTTTGCTCCTGTTGGGCTTCTGGTTGAGCGTCCGCTCCAGCCGCTGGTTCTGCTATGTGGGCGAAGTTCCATGCAGCCGATGACGGTTCGATGACTCCGTGGTCGAGCATCTCCTGCACGTGTTTTTGGATGAATTCCCGTCCTTTCCAGCTTGTTCTGGTGGGGTTCATCTTAGTGGGTGATGCTTTTTGGACGTCGATGGTCTGTGTTGCCATTTTGACGTCTCCATACGGTTTGTTCCAGGTCGGAAATACCGTCCGGTAATCCCATGCAGCTAACTTCAGTATGGTCAGTTGCTTGTCGGTCAAATTTTTACCGAAATTCATGGAGTCGATGATTCTTCGTCGCTCCTTTGGGATTCCGCGTCGTCCTCCTCTACTTCAGTTGTGCTAGTCTCTCCTTCTTCCATTTTCTGGTCGTCCGTCATCATACTGAGCGGTTCAACTCGACCCATTAGTGCACCTCTTGGTGAGTGACCGCTTGGTGAGTGTGATTCGCTACCATGACGGTGAATCGTTTCCCGTCATGCTTGGTTGCACCACCCATCGTCTCGACTCCGTATCGTTTGGAGTCGGATTCACCCAAGTACATGAGTTTCTGGTCGGTGGATACTGCTACGTCCATGACGACGTGTACTTCGGCTATCGCTCAAGGTATTTGTTGACTTTCCGTTGAGCACTGACTCCTGTCGTCTTGAAAATCTCGAATTTCGGAGTTGGTCTTGGCTCATGTTTGGGCGACCATGTTTTGGCTATTCCAAGTGGGAATTTCCAAATTACATGTTCATTCTCGATATCCGGTTCGTACACATCGCTGTATTCCATATGGCCAAGTCGTACGCCTGTCTTAAGTATCTTCGGTTGTTGAGTTGTATTCTGGATGTTTATGAAGGCCGTGTCTATCTAAGGTTGGATTTCGATCTTGCCTTCGATCTTGCCTTCGAGCCGAAAACGTCGGGTTTTCCGCCGTAAGGTAACGAAGTGAATTCGTCTCCTTGGGTCCATTGGTTTGGCCATCCATAACTTGTAGAGCACGTCGACTATGGTGGGAGTGATACTCGTTTGCTGTTAAAGACCGTTTGTCGGTCCAACGCCTTGAAGTCGAATCCATCCACTTCAGATGATATACCTCTGGGCTCTTGTTGTCCAGGTTTGACTCCTCGACCGTCTTGATTCGCGCCATCCGATCCTTATGTAAATTTAGTTGCATCGACTTGTGTTGTTCGGTCAAGTTAACCGAGGTCGGTTGTTCAGTTGACAACTGCTGAACGACTATCGTTGGAGGTCGGAGGTCATCTTCCTCGGGGTGCGCTCCTCGAAATTTCCATAAAATTTTGAGTTGGTCGAGTTGCGCTTGTTGCTCTGGATCGACCGGTTTTTTCTGTTCAATTTGTTCCGGTGGATCTTTGACTACGAGTTCTGTGTGAACTATAGACCGTAATGCTGCGGTTATCCGGATGTCGAAGGTCGGTTCTTCGTCTTTCGATGACGACTCGTCCGATTTGTCTTCTCACGGTTCGTCATTTTTACAGTGTCGGATTGACAAATCGAATTCTTCGTCGTCTTCTTCTTCCTCGGATTCTTCCGAAGGACGGTTATCGGAGTTTGTGTCCGCCGAATCGCTCGTACTTTGTACGTTCCCTTACGAAGCGTGGATATCGGACGATTTGGCACCCGGCGCACGACCGTGTGCGCTGCAGCTTCGGAAACAGGCGGCTAAGGGGAGTAAGACCAGAGCCGAACACCCAGGCCAGGAAACCGCTGAGACAGACAATACGACTCAACGAATCGGCCCGGCGACATGTAAACCGAAAGTGCCGTCATTACGGCCACATCACCGCCCTCGGCCAGATGACGGCGAAGAAGAAGATTATTTCGGCGGCGATCCGGCGATTGCTGTAGAGTTGGGTTAAGATCAGGTTCCCACATTGGGACCTTATCCCCTACTCGAAACATTTAAGGGGACTCAGAGCCGACGAACGGCACGGTCGAGAAGCGCCCTGACTGAGAAAAAGTCTAGCTGAGAAACAGTACAGTCGAAAAACGACTTCGGAACGGAATGGACACCTTTTTTTTGGTTTTTCTTACAGAAACCGATCAACCATGTATACAGCTGATGTCGACGACGACTATGCCAATAGTGCAGACCACATAAGTCGGCCGGATTCTTCGGTCGGACCCGGAAACGCGTGGTCAGACCTGGGTATTTCGGTTCTTTCACCGAACCGGTACGTCCCCCGAGGAATCCCCTGGATAGAACTGGGCAAACCGAGGGATCCCTTAGATAGAACTGGGCAAACTGACCCCAGTTCCCCAGCATGGCCCGAGCAGATCGTCCGAAACCACATCTACCGTAATCGGAGCCAACA